GGTTTCAGCATTGACGAATAAACCCGGAAGGTGAAAGCAAACCTGACGGCCGAAAGCTGGGTTTCGCTCCGGTATTGAACACAGTTTCACACTACCTCAAATATTGGAGCAGCGCTCTACATATCGCCGGTCAATAATTGTGGCTTCCCTTGACTTCAAGGGAGCCTTTGACTCCATGAGTCTCAGTTCTTACGCGGATGCCAGCGAAGTCCATTCAAAGGACGTTAAACTCATCTCAAATGGGACAGTATTCGTAAAGGCTTTCAATCAACGCCTTTACGCCCCCTCCACTCCACAAACTAAAAGCACACGCACTCAAGATGAAATGAAAACAATCGTTCAGCTATAGCATCCTTTCGGTACACAGTCTGCGTAACTCAGAAGGAGCTTGAGAGTTAAGATATGGCCACGATGTCCAAGTCTAGACAGAAGCGAACGAAAGGTCACAGCTGGGTTTCAATCACGGTTCTGGACAGAGCTTAGCAGCTTAACCACTGACCTATCTTGGGCACACATTTCGGTAAATTGCGGAAGTTTTCACGCCTAACTTTCAGGATAAAAGGGTACAACCTATGCCTCGTCTTGGTCGGTAGCGGTGGGAAGCATCCATGTCGTTTTCAGGCTCGTAATTTCGCTAAAATACGTCATAGATTTTCGAGATGTTGCGACAGGTCCCAACTTGCGTTCCCCTAACGATCTCAGTCCCTGGATGTCAACAAATTTCCAACGGATAGTGAACCGGTGAAATGCCGGGAATCAGAAATCACCCGTACCACAACATAATGGTAACACGTACTGAAGCGAAACTGTCATTCAACCACGAGGTAAAGTCTTAATGGAAAGTGGGAAGGGGACGAGTGAAGAGTTAAGGTGAGACTCAGCAAAGTTCGTTTTTTACGCCATATACGATACAAGTCAGTGATCGCTGCTGACGCCCTGATTACCCACGCGATGACGTCACCATCTGAACAAATTATGCAGCGGTCAAGCTACGTAAACTCAACGAACTCAACTTTCAGCAATGGGACTGAAATTTGAAGGTGTAAAATGAATGATACATACAGAGCACCACATTCGACATTCTGTTCAACATACTTTGTGCGGACAAGTGACAATCAATCAAAACAAGATCGTCCGTATAATCCAAGCTAAGTAATATATGTTCAAACATGATGTCGATAACTAGATTTATGATCTCGTAGAGTATGCATCCATGACAACGTCGACGGCAAAATTGAACAAAAAGAGGGGAACAACCCAGACGAACTCCATTAGTTGTGAGAAAGCTTCGTGCAATCTAATGTATACTGCGACCCGATAGGAAGTATGAAAATAAAGGAAAATAAGGATGCTTATGGAGAGCATCCATTTCTGGCTAAGCCCACTTGAAAAAGTCAAACTTTCCACGTTGTTAAGGCTGTTTTAAGGTCGAGAAAACATAAGATTGTGTTGACCGGTGTGGCGGCGCCGCTAAAGAAATAGCTACATTGTAGAGATATGATCAGAGCAACCCCTTGCATCTATGGGATCGATTTGTTCGGGTACGTTTTTGGACACGGATACGACCCCCTATTTGTCCAAACTTTCTGGGCTGCGTTCCTGTTCCCAAATAATTACAAACTGCCCTGTCGAGGCGGAGACGTATATTTACATCTGTGAGGGAGGGTGGGGGAAGCTCATCTGGCATAGCTACTTGATGGCGCCCTAGAATATGAAAACTTCATGGTACTCCATCTACAAGCTCATCCATCCATCCAAGCTCACAGAACACTCCTTAAGTGAACACTCCAAGTGAAATGCATACGTACAGAGATAGAAATTAACTGTTATTGAAAATATTCCATCCAGCAATGTGAAAGTTAGCTCTTATTACATCGTTCAGCTGTAACACTCTTTATGTGTTTAGCTGTCATGCCACCCGAAAGAAGCACGAAGGCTGAGATACGGCCAGGTTACCCAAGCATAGACAGGAGCAGTCGAGATGCATAGGTCGGGTTCGAACTACAGATTTCCTGGTCAGGTGGCTCGCGCCTTAATCACTGAGCTGTTTTGAGTTCACCCTTGTTGAATCCTGGGTTTCCAATATTATCCTTGACTCACTTGCTGAAAACGTTCCACATCCTGTTTTGCAGATCAGCTGGAACAGCTCTAGAGCATTAAAAGACGCACTGGCCCGTTCTATTTCTTGGATTTTCCGCTGTCTTGCAGACTATTTCTAGTCTCACCATGCCATTCTATCCACAAACAGGCTACGTTGAAACTGTCGCATAGTCCACTGCCTAACCCAATCGTACCACGAGCTCGAGGACAATAAGCGCAAGTGGTTGTTCTGAGAACATGTTGTTTCCGTGTAAGTTCTCAGAAACATCATCAGCAAAGCCCGGACGTCACAATAAGGCATTTATGTGCACTGTAGCAGCACAGTAGTGAAGCGTCAGCGACTGAACACAGATAGTTTTGAGGGTGATGGTATAGAGTTGGTTATCTCACCACAGTTACGGTAACTAACAACAGTAAGCTACATCGCATAGCTTTGGTATGTGTTTTTTAATTGGGACTCACAAAGTTGTTTTACTGCTAAGTGGAAGGCTCGTTTCTGGGGTCCGCCGGGAAAATGTGAGGAAAATCTACATTAAATGAGGGTGAGATCTGGGTCAGCCTGTGGACTCCAAAATGATCGGCAGCCAAGTATTGTGCCGCGTTATCAGCAGCTGATAGCCACGTAGTCAGTTTGAATCGAAGGCTGTTCGGCGGAATGGAAGCGCCAGGTGGAAAACCGGCACTCACTGCGACTAGACTCTGTGCTTCTGAGAAACACTTGATGATCAGCACACAGATGCATGTAGCGTCCAAAAAAAGCACTACCGAAGCGATTCCACTGGAACATCCTGCTGTTGCAACTACATCCGAGATCATTGTGCCAGGCAGAAGCGTTGTCAGTTCTTGATAGATGACTTTCAGTTAATCAGAGCAACGCGTCTTTGATGCATGAAGGACAGGATATAGGGAGTCCATTGCAAACTTTGATCAAAGTGAGCCGGTTCTTTGCTAGTATTTAGTGAAGCATCTGTGTGCTCTGGTGCTGCTGCCATTGGTATTGATGAAAGGAAGGGCATGACAACCCTGACACAACCACTGCCACGGCGACAGGAAATCCCACAGCTTATAGTCAGTAACAGACAGAAGGTACCGTGGACTGAACAAGTGTGTTTGGATATTGTATTAAAGTCTTGGAGATTCAACAGATGTCCATTAGACTGGTGTCGAAGAAAAGAGCCCGTGTTGTTCTTTGGCTATTCTGGAAACGACTGTGATGAATGGTAAGTACGGACATCGAGTGATGTTCAAGTTCGATACAAGGAAGGAGTACGGTAACTACTAGCTTTCAGCACGTCCTTCTCACCTGTTAGGTGGAAATCCACACGGATGACGCTTTACTGCTCGCAGCCGGGTGTTGCTGCGCCGGGAAGCCAAAGGTTCTGGGCGCTTGCTGGTTCGGCTTCAATCCGAGATCCCATTGGTCCCATTGGTTTGGGCTAAACAGTTAATCGTGACCCAGTATTGGCTGAATGCTGGTTGCCAATGTCGAATCCAGAAAGCGTCAGAATTTGCAGATAATTTTTGCGACTTACGCTATATAGATGAAGCGCTGTACAAGTGTTCATGACTTTGTTTTGGGCGTTCCTATACCTTGGGCACCTTTGGTGGTTGCTTTGGTGTGAACGCTAGCCTGGGAGACTCGGACCGAAAGCCAAGCTAAGGAAAGGAAGGCTGAGTATCATCGCGAAGATGATGCAGTATTGTTCTTCTCGAAAAACACCTGTGAATTCCAAGATTCTACGTGAAGTGTAGGACATGCATCTGAGGGGGTTACGTCATGTAGAAGACGGCTTGCCAACAGTGTGCTCCCGTTTCCAACCCTAAGTGACAGCCAATCCTCATATTTATTCCCCTTGACCAGATGAACTGAAACCTTCTTGTTTTACTAAACTATTTTTATAACTCTTATGGACTTTGGTCGGACATTGTGATTTTGCGGTTGCTCGCCGTCGATATCTGTTTGGTTGTGACGATATCGATTTTGAGGCGTAGTGATCTGCGCTTTATCCTCAGGCTGGTAATTGTACCGGCTTATCTTTGTAACCCTACGGTATCTGCAGAG